ACTGCAGAGGTTTTTTGATGCAGCACATTCTCCATCTAGAGAAATGGTTTTCAGGGAAAAACATACATCTACCCCCTATTGCACCAAATCTGAAGTGCAGAGAGTGGGGAAGCTAGGTTTTGAATGAAAGTTTAGTCTACAAACCTTAGCAAACCATAGCTACTCTTGTCTCCAGCTCCCTAATATTATTGGGGGACTAGGGTGGTGGGAGAGAAGGGGAGGAGGAGGGGAGAGTGTGAACTCTTGGTTATGGCAGTTGTCAAACTGGCAGCAAAACAGCACTGACACTCCCAAGCTGACACAGCCACACTAACCCAGAAACAAAGTCAGAAACCCATGTCCCCAGGGCCTCAGTCCTTAGAGAAACACTGAATAGCCACTTGCATACCAACGGTTCCGTCAAACCCACCAGAAAATTCTTAATGAATTAACTAGCAGGTGACAGTGGAAATTCCCTGCCATCTCCTATTTGTCCAGGCAGAAGAAAAATGAAGTTTAGCCAGGAGAAAATGCCCACTGTCCACTCCTGGGGCCTTGGCTTCTTGCTAAGAAGCAGACTCCAGAGTTGTGAAGGTGGACAGCCGGACCGCCAGAACAGGACAGAGGGCAGGGAGAGCCACTTCACTCCCCCAAATCCAAAGGGGGGGAAGTCAGTGAGAAAATCTCCTGGGTTCAAACATTCCTTTAAGACCCACAACTCTAAATACTAAATGTGTTTCATGGCTGCCATCTTGAAAAACGTTCGTTTGCCAAAGGCTCCCTTTGATTCCCGTTTGCGATGGAAACGCTTGCAGATAATCCACTGAAGCAGGTCCCGCACAAAGGCGTTCTCGCAACAATCATGGTGCTTGTGAAGGACAACATTTTTGTGCGCAAAATAAAACATTTTAATGCGCTACAATCCATTACACATATAGTCCTCCATTTCCTTTCAGTAATTATTCATTAGAAAACATTTAACGTCACTGTGGATTTCACACTGGGCAGTCTGGACACAAAGAACAAGAGATGGCCCATTTATGAGGGGCTGGGGGCCTTCTTTTCTAAGCTGAGAAACTCTGAGGAGGTGGCGCCCACAGGCTTCAACAGACTGGCTAAATTGTGCGGTTAACGGTCAAAGCCCCCCGCCTACTCTGACACTCATTTAAAGATGACAGGGAACAAAAGAGATTTGTTCTGTGCGACCCTTTCTTGTTACACGGTCTACACCAGCTCCACACAGGAAGCTGCCCATATTTACCCCACCTGCCATCTCCCTCCGGCCTGGCCCGACTCTCTCCTCTACTATTCTGCTTGTCCCCACTTTAACACAAAGAGACAGGTAAAGAATGTCGTGAAAAGGGGGCCATTCAGCATGTCAGCTTTCATAATACAATCGCCTGTCAGGTTCTCTATGAGCCCCGAGCCTCTCAAACTTCTGGGTTCAGGCCAGAAATCCGGCCCGCAGTTCGGTTAGTGAGGGGGCAGCTTCCCAGACACCTCCCAGCCTCCAGGAGCAAAAGGCCATCTCCCGGGCACAGACACCAAAAACATCTTGATGAACAACAGTTTGGGACATCTGCTACGTTACAAGGGACCACAGGCCCGCACCACCCCCACCCAGCGAGGGTGATTCCCTTAAAGCTGACACGTTAAAATTTAGCTGAATGCTCAGACCCAGGGAGCCTAGTAGAAGGAAAATTTCTTATAGCCTTTTTAAAAGACATTCTTAACAGGATAAAATGTTCAACATCAGAGGCTTCTTCATACAGTCGTGGGGGGAGGGAGGGGAGTCTTCAAAGTCTCCCTAGCTGAATACACAGAGCTGATCACGTAGAGACAGGTGCAGACTTAAAACATTTCCAGGGCACTTTCTATCTTGCACCCCATGTGCAGAGTGCATACAGCCAGTGATGCTTCCAGAAGACAGATACGAAGCCAGTGAGCACAAATGGGCGATGGTGTTCACCGATCCTCCAAGGTGCTTCACGTCCCAGAATGGCTAATTTTTCTATCGTAGCAATTCTCAAGTTCACGTGTGAGCTAATTCTCATGCTGAGTCATAGAACATGGCTGGGCCACAGAGCAAGGTCACCCAAACATCCTCGATGGCATCAGTAGGTACTTAAGGAGAAAGTAAGATTCTTAATAAAGCCAGTAGAAGCAGCTTGGCCAGTGGTGGGTGAAGTCTACAAACAAGTGTTGACGCTGTGTGTTAAAGGATTGCAAGCGTGACCAGAGACCAGTCGGAGGAAGCTGCTGGCTTTTGTCTCAAGCTAAGGATGGCTTTTACATTTTTAAGAGGTAGCAGGGTGGGATGGGGTGGGGGTTGGGGCAGGGCAAAGAATTAATAAGATCTCATGATGCATGCACACATTAAATGGGATTCAGATTCCCGTGTGCAGACTAAAGCTTCACAGGACGATAGCCACGCTACTAGCGAAGGGACATCAGTGGCTGTCCACGCTCGGAACGGAAACGCATGGTGGAAACAGGCTGGAGAGTCCACAAAGCCTAAAATATTGACCATCTGGACCATTCCAGAAAAACTGTGCTGATCCCTGCTCGCTATCTTGGTCAGCACACATTTCTCTTTTTCTGAGAAAGCAGATTTCCGAATCACTGTTATTTCGAAACTGCAGACAGCCAGGGAAGCAAAGTACCGTTTTCTAAGGGTCAGATGTCAGCTTTGCAAAGTAAATGCTGACGGTTTATGATCCGTCCTCAAATGAGGAGTTGTAGTCTTTCTTAATTAAGGTTTTCTTTATTGCCAGCTGCTCCACATGTGCAGTGCCTGCCGATGTCACAAAATGTCATCTCAACTGCAGCGGGAGCCCCCTCCCCAGTTCTACTGCCGCTTGCTCACCCACAAACACAACCCAAAACTTAGCTGTGCTAGCAGCAGGGAGCAGTTTGCTAGAGGGAACTTAACGGATATTTGCTCTATGAAGCGGAGGGCATGTCCAGCTCTCAAGGAGCAACATTTTTTTTTTCACTTAAAAAAATTAATTTTTACATCAATTTGTGCCTTTTTCCATCTCAGTTCTAATCCCCATGGGCTTCCCATCACCATTTCACCCTTGTGCCATCACCATAGTCCAGTGCAATTACCCCTGCCCCCCATCTTTGACCCCATCCCCCACTCCACCCCTGTAAAATGTAGTTGTCATTATTATCATTCTCTCCCCGCCCCCCAAGTCCTTTAGGCTCCAAGGAGCTGCATTTTCACTGAGGTGTTGTCTCCAATTCAGAATGGCGTACTAACTCTGTGGCAGCTAAAATTTAAGCCAAGCATCAAGATGGACAGCATTGTGCATTGTTAGCTGCAGAACTGACAAGGGGGGTCTTCACTGCAGAACTGACAAGGATCAAATCTGAGGGATGAGAGAATTGTAATATTGCGCATTTTTATGCATTCAATTTGCTCAACACCAATGTCCCAACCACTCAAATGAAGGATAATCTTTTCAGCTAATGACAAGAAGGCTGTTGGTGTTTTATTATCCACTGCAGCCTCTTAATCACTGCTGAATGAGAACAATTATGAATATCAGCAAACAGAATAATGCCTCTAAATTACCTTAGGGATTAGATGGTCTCCTGGCAAAAATTAGAACAGTTTAGAGTCTTTACTGCCCCACGGGAGTTATAGGTAGAGGAAAATATGTGTGATTACAAGGCCTTAATTTTCAGCATACAGGATTAAAACACACCAGCACAAGGCATGCACTTCCTTAGCTATTTCCCAAAGTAAATGCAAGTAGAAAAAAGACCTTTGTAGTTTACAGAGTTTCCTCTTCATAAACATTCTTATTCAAAAAAACAAATATAATTGACATAAAGTTATAGTAGTTTCAGGTACTTAATTCAATCTTTGTATTGTGAAGTGATCAATACAATAAACCTAGTTTGCATTCATCACTAAACACATTTTTTGTGCTGAGAACTCTGTCTACTCTTGTAACTTTCTAATATATAACATGGTATTAACTACAGCTGTCATGCTATTCATTATATCCTATGCCTTATCAATGAATGTTTGATCTTCTAGTCACTCACATTAATTTCACTCACTGCTCACCAATAACCCTCCCCCATAGTTGGCCATTTGAACCTGAATGGATTGGCCACCAATCTGTTCTTTTTAAACAATGAGCTTTTTTTTATTATTAAAGAATCCTCATATAAGATTACATAGTATTTGTCATTCTCTGACTGACTTATTTCACTTAGCATAATACTTTCGAGGGTCCTCTATGTTGTTGCAAATGGCAAGACCTTTTTCAAAGCTGAATAATACTCCACACTACACACAAGGGAGAGGGGGGTCAGGGGAGGAGATTATCTACAGGCATAAGTACTCCTTGGGGGACAAACATGCAAGAACTAAAGACAAATGTATATTTTAAGAAATTTGCTTTTCTGGATTTTCCTTTTAAAATGGAATGATTTATGAGAGAGTAGGGAAACGAGAATGAAAATTAAACTTATCAAATAAGCAACTATTAAAAACCCTCCTAACTACAGCTCCTTTGAATGGTATCTTCTCTCTTCTTTTTGTCTAATAAAAGATTGCGTGTTCATTTTAGATATTCTGGAAACTTGCAATAAAAATCATCACTAATCTTGGCCCTCCCTGGTGACACAGCGGGTTAAAACACATCACTAAGAAGCTAAAGCCACTTCCGCATGAGTTCCATTCCCGCCTGCCCCGGAGGTGACCACATGGCGCGGCAGACCTCTCCTGACCCGCCCGCTGCTCCCCTCAGCAATGTACTTCGATGATCTGCCCATTCTGCTCCCCACTCATCTCTGGTGAATCCTTTCACCGCCCCTGCACCTCTGGCCTGTGCCTCAGTTCTGTATACATCAATAAATAAATCTTAAAAAACATATATTCCATACTAAAATCAATTCCAGAACTAAAAATGAAGGTTATGGAATATAAAATTTAAAAGGCAGCTTATCCCACCCAACCATGGTCTGAACCCAACATGTTACTCAGTTGGCATTTCACTTACCTTTCAGTAAGGTAAGTGTGCCTCCTCGCTGGACGAGTCTAATAAAGGCTTATTTAGCTAGCATTCAAGATACTCAGGCTAAAAATAATTACTCTTGGGCCCTCCCAGGTGGTGCAGCGGGTTAAAGCACAGCACTGAGAAGCTAAGGCCACTTCCGCATGAGTTCGATCCCAACCACAGAGGTGACCACATAGCGCGGCAGACCTCTCCTGACCCGCCCGCTGCTCCCCTCAGCAGTGTACTTCTATCTGCCTGTTGTGCTCCCCACTCTGTCTCTGGGAAGACACCCTCACTGCCCCGTACCCCAGTTCTGTATGCATAAATAAACAGATGTGTAAAAAATAATACTTACTCTAATAGTAGTTCCAGGAATCAATGGAAGTGATCACATGCACATGCTGAGGCATGGTCCTGGTGTAAACAGCCACCCACGCCCACCAAGCTCAATCCCCCAGGGCCGAGCAGGAGGGGTGTGTGGGACGTCTGCACTGCTTGGGCCACTTTTTGTGAGTGCATCTCAAAATAAATAACTTTTTCAAATGTTAGAAACAAAGTATCTTAAGTGATGACAATGCATTAGCACCATGGCCAAGTTCTTACTGGACACACTGCAGAAGCCACCATCAAGACTCCCATCTTGACGGACAAAGGAGCGTGCTGATCTCTGACGAAGTCCAAAGGAGTGTTCTGACGAAGTCCTTACTATCCAACAAACTGGGGGGAAAGAGGGAACTGCCCAGATGATTCCCATGAAGTGAGTTTTTGAACGGACCACACGTGACCATGCCAACATGGCTCCTGACCCCTCCGTTGTCACCAAGCAGAGTCCAAACAGCGACATTGTTCATGCTCATCACGCCCGCTCCCTCCAAGGTCCTTGCAAATGGCTCCCTCTCTAGCATTTCCAAATAAGGGTTTGGCTGTTTTGTTTTTAATAATTACAGAGTCACAAGAAGCTTCAAAAATAGCAGTGTGAGCGCCTATGCAGGCCTCTCCTAACTCTGCCATGTGCACGAAGTCACACAACCATAGTAGCGGAGATTGGCTCCTGTACAATCTTCAAACTTGCTTTGGTCCTGACTTAGTTACATTTCTGGGTATGTTTATCACCCGTGGTCATATCACCATCACAGCAAGTCGCAGAACTTCTCCACTAGCCCTAAGGGTGCCACCCCACACGGCCTCCCTAAACCCTGGCATCTAGCGCTCTGTTCTTCATCTCTAGTACAGTATAAAACCTCTTTTCGCCTTGGTATAATGTCCTCGAGGCCCATCTCAGTTAAGGGACATATCAATCATTTGCTTTTACTCTATTTATGGTGTAATATTCCATTCAGGTCACATTCGACCAGGGGAATCTGGAATTAGTTCCCCACTTAAAGAAGGACAGCATCCTTCATTCTAAAAAAATAAAGCTATATATAGATTAAGCTGCCTGGATGCCTCTATATGCCCTTCATCCACCTTGGCAACAGCCCACACATGATCTTGCTTGGGGACAGGCTGGCTGTTGCCATTGCTCTCTAACTGGTATGTTCCTCGGGGAATACTTCTTCCTGCCAATTAGCCAAGCCAGTTCTCCTTCCAAGAGCTAGTTTTCAGGTGTAGTACAGGAATGCATGAGTTTCATTTTCAGGGTAATGAAAACATTTTGGGCTGCCAGTTGTCATCCTGAGTTACCAGTTGCCAAGGCAGGGCATTCGGTGCTATAGAAATGGGTAACTAATGGATCAGTGACCGGGGTAGCTAGAGTTTCTCCTCTGTGCCGGCTGCTAAATTATTCTCACTTCAGACAGAAAGGCTTCTGTGACCCTTTTGGGCTATCTCGAGGAGAAATACTTCAACAAGTAAGGTTTTCCAGTTAGACAACACACAAGATGGCTGTTTTAAAGAGAGGAAAATGTGTCCTTCTAAATCTATAAACCTTTTTTAACTCCAAGAAAAGGGCACCTTGTTTGACAGTCAAGTTCAGTCTCTCAGGTCTCCAGGAGAATTTTTCCCATTATTTAAATGCTGATGGAAAAAACCCTCAGCCTTAGCTTTTTAAGGTAAGCTTTAACTGGGGCAGTTTGGAGTTATGATCTTTATAGGCAAACACCACGCATGGGGGATAACAGAAGAAAATTTATGAGTAGTCTTCCAGGGAAGGATCAGTATTCTCTAGGATATTCTTTGGCACGAAGTTATCTATTATTCAGTGATAATTACCTGTGCTGTCCATGGACCACATATGGCTATTTCAATTAATTAGATTTAAGTAAAATTTGCAAACCAGCCCCCCAGTCACACAAGTCACAGGTGGGCACACAAGCTACTGCACTGGACATGAGAATCCAAGCCGCATCTAGAATCACAGGACTGGTGGTGGACAGCGCTGCCCTGGACCAGGCTAAAGGAACCGCAATACCCCACACATCAGTGTAAGTGATCACACCTCCCCCCAGTCAACAAAGCGGGTAGAGGGGAGGTGGGTCTTTTATCAAATTTTTAGCAAACAAATTCAGAATGTGTCTGGGGGCCCGAGAATTGGCCTTTAGCTGGCAGCCCCCGCCATCACTTTACCTTGGACTCCATCCTGCACCGAGCGTGAGCGGGAGCTGGTTGCTAATTATTCCACCTGAGCCATTCAAACCTGCTGTCCTCTGGCTTGTGATCCTGGGGCACACAGGGCCCTCACTGCACCCAGGGCAGCTGAGCCCAGTGGGCGGGGCTGTGTGAATCATTCATGGTGGCAGCAGGGACGGCACCCAGAGGCTGCTCACCGGTGGGGGTGTGGGTCACTGGGGACTGATAAGAACTGGAAATACAACCTCCTTGGGGATTACCTTGCAGCCACTGCAGACCTCTGACCAGCCACTTCCATTCCTAACCAGGAGCCCACGGTCATACAGTCAGGGCTCTCCCTGGGCTCGGCCAAAAACAGTATAAATCTCAGACCTCTGTGCCTAGAGCCTGCTGACAGGAGACCCGCTAGGGGTCTCCTGACGAAGAACTTCACACCGTCATACTTCAGGGGATCAAGTGGAAAGTGCACCTACAAGGTTTAGCATATGGAGACTCTCACCTTTTCCAGGTCTTTTTGTTTTGTTGTGAATTTGTAGGTGCAACAATAGTATGCATGCCTGCCCACTAAAAAAGAATAATAATAGTCTATGGTGATGGCACCCGGGTGATTTGGTGATGGGAGGCCCATGGGGATTACAAGTGAGATGGAAAAAGGCACAAAATGATGTAAAAGCAAACTATTATATTATTTTAAAAACAGAACAATAGTCTGAAGGACCCTGTACAACTGAAGGTGGTTTTATCGTGGAGCTCTCAGTTGGCCCCTGCTAATTGTGTGTTTGTCAAGTTGTATTCTTACTCGTTAGAAGATCACCCTAGTATCCACCCACCCCCTTGCTGTAGAAACCACAGACCCCAACCCAAGCCTGTTTCTGCCGTAAAACTGGATAAGAACATGGACGATGGAGTCGGGGCGTGGGTTTATTCCCACACCATGCTCCCCATGAAGGTCACGCCCGAGGTGAATGGCTGACTCCTGAGTCAAATCAGCCAACTCAGCTGACAGCTGAACACATGTAAAGCCCTAGAAGGGTGCCAGGCACCAGTGGCACCACAAAGATCCAAACAGATACACAGACCAGTGGATTCAGATAGAAAACCCAGATATAAACCCACAGGTTTATGGGCAGCTAATCTGACAAAGGAGCAAAGAAGATACAATGGAACAAAGAAAGTTTGTTCAGCAAATGATGCTGGGAAGCTACATGCAAAAAAATGAAACTAGATCACTACCTCACACCATACACAAAAATCAACTTGAAGTGGATTAAAGACCTAGACATAAGAACGGAAACCATAAAACACCTGGAAGCAAAGATGGGCCAAACACTACACGACATACACTTCAGCGACATCTTTAAAGATAGAGCACCCAACGCCACAATAGTGAAGGCAAGGATAAATAGATGGGACTACATCAAGTTAAAAAGCTTCTGTCAGCAAGAGAC